CCCACGCAGGAACCGGCCCCACGCCGGTCCTTCCGCTCCGCCGGTCCTTCCCCTCCCCGTCCGGGAAGTCCCTGGGGGCATTGCTGCTTCCCAGTCCCACCAATATGTGCTCCCCGCCCCGGAGGCTGGGCGCCTTCACGGCAGCTCTACCAGGAGGCCAGAGGCCACCGAGATGGGCCTCGAGGCTGCAGCCGAGGATCCTCTAAAAGCTGTCACTTGGCATCCTCTTTGTAAGCGTGAACCGGGCTTATCTGTTTTTGGTTTGGTTTTTTTGTTTTGTTTTGTGGTGGTTTTTTTTTCCGGGCGTTTTCCTTGTTTTGTAACACACACCTAATCCTTAACTCCTCTCTTGAAAGGGAAAAATATTCATGTTTTTAACAGGCGGGGCAACGGGAGGGGTTCTGGGCAATCAGGCTTTTTCAGATCTCCATGAGATGACTAGAAGTAGAGGCACCTAGAGTTACCAGCTGTTCCAAAATTAGAAGGCCTCTTCTGGAACTGGCAGGCATAACTGTAGTGCTGCTTTCCAAAAACAAGGGGCAAGATTTTCAAACTGCTTACCTTGTGCTTTTTCAATTATTATTACCCTACAACAAGTTCATACTGTGCTTAGGTTTCAGCATGGTCTGTGTTTGCATACAGAGTTGCTTGTATTAGGTAATGATGTGTGTTATATTTACTGTATGGTCGTAACTTGACCTCTGGCTCTCTGTTGAGATGCCACAACCCCTCTGGTGGGTTTTTGCGATGATGGAAGGTCCCCTCCTGACTGCCGCATCTGCTTTTCTTCACGGTGGGGTCGAAAACCTTGTAAGAACCATTTCAGGTTGCATGTGATGAAGTGAGGGTATTGTTATTTTCAGCACTTTGAAGCTGCAGAGGACTGCAAGTATTTCTGCAATGTTGTGGCTAGGTAACCAAAGCTAGGTTTTGGAGGCTTATAAGCATGTTTGAAATTGAAAAATTATTGGTATTATGAAATCAGTTGTGATGTGATGTGATTTCCACATCTCTTTTCACACAAATTCTGTTTGCTCTCGAAGAACAATGACTTTGGCTTAGTTGACTGACTTTACTACAGTTGATAACTACAAGTTAAATATTTGCTAGAGCACCACCTGTGCAGGCATATCTGATCACATTCATGCTTTTCCTGTCTGATTGCACAAGCGTAAATTTTTATTTACAAAGTGTCACAAAACCAAAATTGTTGCTGTTAAGAACTTTCAGTGTAAGTTAAGACCTAGTGAGAAAGAAAGGTGTTGCAGAAGATTAAGGAAATAGGTTATTTACTAACTACTTCAGGTTTTGTGCTGTTTTCAATATGTCTCGGAAGCAAGATCAAAGACCACCAAAATCAAGCTGAAGGGTGCCTGAGAAGAGGAAATTGCAAGTGGAAATACCCCATTGCTTGATTTAAGGAGGCAGCCATGAAGTAGTGGAAAGAAAAGTGATATGGCAAAAGTGTTCTAGGTGGGTTGGACAGATGAAAGAATGTGAAGGAGAACCAAGATGTGAAATGAAAGTGTAACAGATGCGTTAAACCTTGAATGTGAGGAGAGAAGCCAGTGGAGGGTGTAAGAGATGATGAGGTTTGCTCTGAATTAGCTAGCGTAGAAGTTATAGGAATCTGCTACAGAGTTTTTCATTCACTAATTAACCCAGATGAAGTTCTGTTAATTTTATTGAAAGCGAGTCACTCATTGCAGAAATGGTCTCCAAAGGATTGAGATCAACACCAAGGTAGCAGGGGTGCGTAGTACGCTGAAGGAGGGAGAGAGACTGAGAGGCAACTCGCAGAGCTTTGACAAGTTTAGTTGAGGCAAAGAGTTTGTAAGTTTTGATTATCATAGAAGAGTCCTGCAATTCCAAATTCTTTGGGAACTGTGTTAGGCTAAGTTGGGCAGTTAAAACACTTGAAAAATTAAATATAACTAACAACAGTTACATGGTGCCATTTTTGGCATTTGCTGTCTTGTGAAAATGGACTTTGTCTGTTGAAGAGTCCTGTTGAACATGTGAGCGCCCTAAGCAATTTGCATTTACTACCACATTCTGCTGCTTTGGAGAGTGGACAGTCTGTGACCACCTCTCTAGTGCTAAGCAACCTGTTGTCTGAATGTGGCTAGAGCTTGTTTGCTGTAATGTGGTGAGGACATGCCAATCTTTTGCAATACTTGAAACATGGATACCTGTTATCACCTAGACAGGAAAGAAACCCATGTTGCTTTTAATTCCAAAGATTGCCATGCCTGTAGTGGTTTCAGACCCAAGCTGAAAAAAACCAGAACAAAATAAAAACAACAAAACCTCACAAAACCCCACCTGCAACAACAAGGGGGGAAAGAAAGGGAAAAAAAAAAAAAAAAAAGGCAGCTATGGTCTAGTATACAAACTTTTCATCCTAACATACAACTATTTGGGTACAGCTGTGCCTAATTTTTTCTTCTGTAATAGTGACTTTCTGAGGGACCTGAGGTTTATAGAGACAGGCAGCATGTTTCCAGCTCTGTTGGTCTAATAATAGGACCTTACAGCTTGCCATACTCCAAACATCTCTGGGTCCAAAAGCTCATCTGTCTTTCCAATGGTTAGTACCGTTCTCTGTCAACCTTGCCTTGCACATATTCTTAGATCATTGTGGCTAGAGCAGTGTTTCAGTGTAAATCAGTAACAGATCCAAGCATCAAGTACACATTAAACTATCTAGACATAATTTATTCCTCCTCCCAGCCTACTTTTGCAGGGTACATAGTTCAAAGTGCACTCACTAGAATAGTAAAAGAGGTACGACTTGCTGACCTCGAAGAAGGGAGGTAGGGAAAAGAATAGACACTTTGTACCCAGGCAGACAGTCACCTTCTTTCCAGTTTGTCATGCGCTTGAGGACTCCAGGACCAGAGTCTGACTCTTTTCCACATTGTAAGGATTATTTGAAATGTGACCAAGGTGCATAGTGCCTATTTCTAAATGGCCTTCAAACTTTTCAAAGCCTGACTCTAGATGTGAACGTCCAATAAGGAGAAATTTTCCCTTTGTTACTTACTTTTTTTTTCAGCACCAAAGCGACTCTTTGCATTATTTGAGGACATCTATTGCTTTTCAGTTGCCTCGTCTGAGAAGGGGCCTCTGTACTATTGCACATTCCAATCCTGCGTCAAGTGATGGGAGTGGCATTCTTCATTGCTTTCTGCTGAAAGTGGTTATATCTTGTGTTGGTATGTCAGTCCATCCCGTTTTCTCTTCTGTTTAGTTTACTGTACCTAGATCTGAACTGGCTGCAAGTAAGGGCTTCTGCAGATCCATAATAAAACCAATCTAGCTGCTATTCGGGGTGACTTACGTAATTGGGTAATTGTTTTATAAACAAAGGCCACGGAGACTTTGTGCTCTAGGACACAACCCCAGCAAATTAATTTCTTCCCAGCTATACCCATGATTTGGGTGAAGTACGGTATGCTGCCACCTGTCATGTAGAAGCATGGTGTGATATCCAGAACTGTGATTGGTGGATGGCATTTTAGTGAGCCAGTAGGCTAAATAACTGGTATTAAAGGTTAGTCAGTTCCATGGGAAAATACTAGTGTCTGTGTGCTCCCATAAATAGTTTACATCTATAAACATCCTCCTGTAACTCCAGAAATTGTAAAAATACGTTATCTGGCAAGCGTGTCCCATTGCATACTGCTCTTTTAAATACCAAAGGCATTTCTCTTCGTAGTGAAGTCATAAGTTAATAACTAGTCACTAAACTGAGAAAATAACTTTCTTGACAGGAAATCTCAGGGCTGGTATCTTAATGAACTTTTATCCTTTACATTGCTTCTTTTGAGGACTCTTTTACCTAATGGCCTCTCCTGATTTTAGTTTTGGAGACGCAATACTTCAAATACTTATTAGTACTATTCAGAGGGTGTGGGGATAGAGGTGTGCTGAATACCCTGTTGCCATCCATGGAACTAGAGACCTATCAAATTAATCTGATGCATATTTGCATGATCAGATCCTGATCATCTGTTTTCGAATTTCAGCAAGCATACTGTCTGTCTTGTTTACAACTTTATGGTTCTGCGCCATCCCGATCAAAACAAATTTTTTGAGGGCTTGTGGGCTTTTTTTCGCTTGCTGGAGGTCAGAGATAGTGTAATGTGACTCCTTTTACTTTCACAGAAGTTGGAATCCTTGCCAAGTCCTACATTGATCAAGGGCGGCTTATTCCAGATGACATCATGACACGACTGATGCTGAATGAGCTAAAAGGTCTAGATCGGTACAACTGGCTGTTGGATGGTAAGTCAGCATATTGGATATTACTACATATGGAGAGAAAATGTGCACTGGAAAGCTTGGAGTGCTTTGGTCGCTTGTGGTTAGCTACACTCCAGTAGCCATCCTTGAGTCATAGTAACTGGACAGTATTTGTTGCCAGCTGCTTGTGAAACGTTCAGCAGCCAGTCTGCCCCAGGTTCTTTGGCTGTAAAATGCTTTGGGTGCATCTCAGCTTCAGAGCTTCACAGGGATGTTTAATTCATGTTGAAAAGGGTAGTTCAACACTCCAGTAAAATTTCAGAACTGGCAATTGTGGTAATTCTTATGCTTTATTCCCCCTTTAAAATACACATGAGAAGTTGCTTTTTTTTAAAGCCTTTTCTTGCTAAAGTCCTTGGGGAATGGAACACTTTGAAGAATGGGGCTGAGGAATTCTTTAAATAGAAAGGTAGGTATGTGATGCAGCAACAAGGCAAGTATGGAAAGCAAGTTCTGCAGCAGTGCAGTGTGTAATAAATCACTAACAAAAACACTGCTTAAGTGCTCTAAAAGGTATCTTTCATTTGCTCTTTGGTTCTGTTCTCTAGAGTGAAATGTTCTGCAATTCTGCAGCGTAAGCTCATTGCTTCCACATTCACAGTAGAAAGAAAATGCATTTGCCACTGTCTTCATGAACTGACTGGCTTGTTACCCCAGCCCATGGGAGTACAGTTGGATGCACAGCACAAAGATAGTGTCTAGGCTGGATGTAGTCGCAACCTGCCTCAGTAGATAAAACTAAAAAGTTGTTGGTGTGGCTTTTTATTTACAGGGAGTGAGAAATCCACAGTGCTTTCTGTCCCTTAGTGCTTTATTATAATTGCTTCTAGTACAGCGATCTGTTCTGGTGGCTTTAGTCATGGTTATGTTCCTCCTTAGTGAGGACAAAGGCTTAATTTCCACAGTGAACAGCACAATGAAACCTAACCAATAAGGGAAAGAGCTCAGATTTTTTCTTTTCTTTAGTTCCAGGTCCTGTGTACACACAGTTCCAGCCTTCTGGATCTGGATGTGTAGCAGTATTAGCTAGGCACAGTGGCAACTCTTAACAGGAAGATGGTGTGGAGGCTGTAAGAGAATAAATCAATTTCTGCTGCCTGTTAACATGCTGCCTTCTTTAAACTTTTGGAGCAGAAATTTTGTCGGCATCAGCATTTGTAATGAGACTCAGTGAATTACACTAGGGATGGCTCTGGCATAATCGGCTCTGTAGGAACAATACTGTTTTGTTGAAATATGTTAAGCAGAAAGTCTTTAGATTGATAACTGCAACTCAGAACAAACAGCTGAGGTCAGCTAGGTCAAACTAAATAGAGTTGCTGAGCTTCTTCTATGCTTACTTAGCCAAATATCCATTTCCACTGCCTTATGATAGGCTGGCTTCTAGAGTCATAGCAGATGTAGCAGTCCAAGTCATATGTGTGTGGGTATGATCTGCTTAGATTTATGTGCTGTATAATTGGGGCACTTTTCTCTGTGTCCCTGGATTCTTCATAACTCATCACATCTTGTAGATTATTTTTTTTGGTATCGAGAATGTATGCAGCTGTCCTGGTTTCAGCTGGGATAGTTAATTTTCTTCTTAGTAGCTGGTACAGTGTGTTTTGGATTTAGTGTGAGAATAATGTTGATAACACACCGATGTCTTAGTTGTTGCTAAGCAGCACTTAGGATCTAAGTTAAGGATTTTTCAGTTTTCCATGCTCTGCCAGCAAGCAGATGTACAAGAAGCAGGGATGGAGCACGGCCAGGACCACTGACCCGAACTAGCCAAAGAGATATTCCATATCGTAGAACGTCATGCTCAGTATATAAACTGGGGGGACTTGGCCGGGAGGGGCGGATTGCTGCTCAGGCATCAGCCAGCACGTGGTGAGCAATTGCACTGTGCATTACTTGTCTTTTCTTATTTTTTGTTTTTTGTTTTTTTTTCATATATTTCTTTTCATTACTATTACTATTATATGTTGTTATTATTATTGTTAGTATTATATTTTATTTTACTTTAGTTATTAAATCATTCTTATCTCAACCCACAAGTTTTACTTTTTTTTTTTTTCCAATTCTCCTCTCCATCCCACTGGGAGGGGGGAGTGAGCAGCTGCATGGTGCCAAGTTGCTGGCTGGGTTTAAACCACGACAGCAACAAATGCTGGTTCAGTTTCAATGAAATGCTTTCGTAAAAGCACTTTAGTTTGTTGGGGAAGTTTCTCATTACTGAGTCCCAAAGCAAACTCATTTTCCAGCTGCATAACTAAGATGTGTGGTGGCTTGTCAATAGTAAGAAAGAACAGCAGTGCTGGAGTCCTGGCTTTCCCTCTGCTCATAACATTTAAAAGCATTTCCATGAGATAATGTGAATGTGAGAGAAATAGGATGAGGGCAGTTGATAACTGTGATGCAAACCAGGTACATCGGACTTGATGCACAAGCAAGAACTTGGACTAAGTTAATCAACTCTTTCCTTTTGTGATGTGTTAGACAAGACACAGTAGCCTTAAGACCATAAAATGTTTTTTTTTTCTGTTTTAAGGCTAGTTCTTGGCAAGTTCCTTACTCAGGCAATGGACTCATAAACCAATGTTACATAAGGAAGACTTTCTTAAGTTTGTATCTATCAGTACTTGCCTTTGTGGAGAAGTTTACTTGTATAGTATGATGAAAATTACAAGCTACTGAAGAACATGAGACTCTGCAAGAGCTTTGTGGGTAGAGGTATTATTGCAGTGAATCAGTAGTGCAGTAGCATGGTCTGCAGTACCTTTGACCGCTGAAGTTCTTGTGGTCAATTTTTCATTTTAAATTCTTTGTGGAGACCTTGGTTCTCTTGTTCTCTGTCGTGTGTCCTGTTCCCCCCCGCCCCACCTTAAGTTCCACTAGATTTCTCTAGTACTAACATGTGCCTTTGAAGGCACGCTACTGGAGCCATGGGGCAAAATGCAGTGTCTTTTAAGTGAAGTGGGAGACTCCTGTTCAGCCCAAGTGTTCTCACAGTCATTGTCCCTGAGGATAGTTTGATACACTAGACTTTCCAGAACTCTTTCTAAAGCTACTGTTTTATGTAAAATTAATCCTGGACAGCTTCTGGTATATATATTGGGCTTACTGCAACTGAATAAAATAGGTTTGTAATGGTCACCTTCTTAAGCCAGACTTACACAACTATGGAAGTAAGAGTTGTCACAAATGTTTCTAGGTTGTTCCAGACCTCTGAGCGAACTGCTTGTGGCTTTTATTGTTCAAAATGTGTACACAGTGCTTTTATTCAATATAGTAGTATGTAGTGCATATAAGTATGGGGTCTTTTTGCATTTGTTACACTTTTGGGAAGATGATCAACTGAAATGAAGAAATGGAAGCTGGGAGGTGTTTACAAGTTAAAGTGCCATGACACACTGAAAAATATTTGGAAAAATCTGATATCTCTTCAACCTTTAGAGTATGATGATGCTTTTTTTTTTTTTCTGTCTCGCAATTATTTTCTGTAATGACTGAATCCAGGTAATTCTCGCTATAACTCTGCCTTTGGATTTTTACGGAGTTGTTTCCTTTAAAAAGGTTTCCCCAGAACGGTTGCTCAGGCAGAAGCCCTGGATAAAGAATGTCAAATAGACACTGTGATTGACCTAGATGTGCCATTTGAGACCATAAAATGTCGGCTCACAGCACGTTGGATCCACCCTGCTAGTGGCAGAGTCTACAATCTTGAATTCAGTCCTCCCAAAGTGCAGGTAAGCAATACATGTCAGTGTTGGCACTAAATAAATGTTGCATTGCATTTGGTAATTGCAGTAAAATACTGTTTGCATATGTTGTTGCAAAACACAGTAGCTCAGAAGAAAAAGGCTCATTTCATCTCTTAGAAGCACAGAAGCTTACTGGTAACAGTCTGCCTCTGAGAGTATGTTAGTGACCTGGTAGAAGCGCCAGCTGATGGACACGTGTTTGTCCCCTGCAGAATGAAACACCATGGAGTTTAATACACTCTTGTTAAAGCTGTTCACTGATCTGGAATACTCTCAGTCTGGCACACTGGCATAGGAGTTGGGGGTGTTCTTAGCCTGTTCTGCAAGTTTGCAGCCTGTACAGTCCAAAATGTAGTGTCCTTTTCCTTCCTCCAGAGGACTCATTTTTTTTATCTAGGAAGCACACCAAATCATCAGAGGAATCCACTTAACACTTTCCCTGTGTTTATATTTAACCAGCGTGGGTATTTTCAAGGGAACAGTTGTCATACTGCAAAATTAGATGTAGAAACTTGCCAATCAGGGAAGCTTCTCAACAGATCAAAGAGGTTATGGCTTGAGATATCCTAGAAAGGAATGGTAAACTTGAAGATAATGATCATACATTGTTACTTTAAGATTTTTGAGGAACTCAGATTAGCCTTAGTGCAACTCAACTTAAGCTGTATTTCATCCTTAACTCTAAATACCTGTTGTAGCATCACATTTCACCTGGAAGCTCTACTAAGTTACATCAGAAGTATGGCAGGCCTTGTAGTTTTCGGACTTCAGTGTTGCAGGAAAAGAGGCCAGCTGAAATAGCAGTTAAGCACTGGAAGTGAGCAACTGGAAACACTGTATTGTTTAAAATATGGTAGTTTAAGTCATGATTATTTTTAATTGCAGAAGAGCATAGGCAAGCTGCAACAGATTATCAGACCTACCAAAGAGTGGACTTCAGCTACAACAGCTTTGCTATTAGGAACACTCCACTCTACCTTCTGCTAATAAGCAGGCATATCACAACATGTAAAGTAGATTGCAATTTTTAAGTGAAATCATGGAATGGAGCTGAACAGCTGAAATACAGTTGTCTCTGTTATCTAATAGACCTGCAAAATGTTTACTTACTCAACAGAACCAAAAGATGATGGCTTTAGAGTTAATGCAAGGCTGAAGGCTCAATACTTGATAGATACAATGAAGGCATTAGGATGGCTGCCTGCATGGGTGCTAGAAAGGAACACTTGAGTGTTTTAAATTATTGTATTATGTAAACAAGGTAAGTTTGACCATATAAATCCATCTCTGGTATGATACAGATGTTCTGGAACAGATACTCTTCACACATTCCTGTCCTGGTTTCGGCTGGGATAGAGTTAACTTTCTTCCTAGTAGCTGGCATAGTGCTGTGTTTTGGGTTCAGTATAAGAACTTCTGGAACAGAGAAGCTTACTGAACATTGACGGTTACTTATTTTCTGAAACTGCCAGAATGCAAGTAGGAAAGGAAAACATTTTTGTGGTCTAATTGGCTTTGTACTTGCAAGATCACTCATGTTTCCACTCCAAATGTCAAATTAAACTTGTCTTTAGCGAAAATAAAAATTCTTGAGAATTTAATTAATATGTATGAAGGAGCACAGAGTCACTTGTATCTGTGGTGGGTCATATTCTGTCCTTAGATGCACAATGATTCAATGCACCTAAGAAGGAGCCAACTTTTATGGCACTAGCTAGTCCTTTATAAGATATGCCAGTGGTCAGCAATTTCTTCAGTCATTGCTGGTTTCAAGGCTTAAAAACTAAAACTCTGTAATCACTTAAAGCACTTCAGTAAATTGGAGGTGCAATGTGCAGTGAAGTAGGAGCTATCATAGTTCACGCATTTGGTCCCTACCTCTGTTTACTGAAGCCTACGAAAACTTCAGCTGGCTCTTATGCCATTTTTTGTACGGCTGTTGCTAAATGATAACTCTTCCATTTTGTGACTTAAAACTAAAGGGCCATTAACTCCTTTTCCCGTTTCAGTATTCTCAGAGGTCCAGTTGGTCTCTTGCTTGTTTCTTGTTATGCAAGAACATATTACCAATAATATTGTTTTCCCTCATATATGAAGGTTTTGTCTACATATTTCCTATATTCAGCAAATGTTCCAGAGGACAAATCAGTCAGGTTACTAATGACCTGATGTTCATTGCAAATACTGAGAAAATAATTTTAACTGATGGACTGTTTTACTGGATAGTCAGCTTCTTATAATCCAGATAAGATATGGGCAGTAGCCTTTCTCTTTATAAGCAGAAATCTACACCTTAACTAACTGCAAACTGATCATAATTTAAAAAGAAAATTACACAAAACAAACAGAAATAAGAAATATACACCAGTGTTTGCTTTTAACCATAATTAGGGCATTGATGATATTACTGGAGAGCCACTTGTTCAGCGTGATGATGATAAGCCAGAGACAGTTACCAAGAGGCTGCAGGCTTATGATGCACAAACAAAACCTGTTCTAGAATATTATCGGTAAGTAGTAAAATCTATTCTTCCACATTCGCGTAGAGAGGAACAGATCTCTTCGGTTACAGAGATTTGCAACAGTGAATGTGGTATGAGCAGCAGTGCATCTTTCATCAACTCAGTAAGAAATCAACCCAGTAAAATGAGTAAGTTTTCCACTGTTGCGTGAAACCTCTTCGCAAGCCTGCTTAGCAGAAGAGCCTTTCACTGCAGCCATATTTGGCTTTACAAAGAGCACTATGCATTATTCAATACATTATAGTACTGTTCTGAGCAACATAGCTCTGGTTAGTAAGGTAACAGAGACAGTTCCTTTTTTTGGAACAGTATTTTCTCTTCTGGATGTGTAAGTAGAAGGCCTTCTAACAAGGGGTCCAGAAGTGATATGCAACAGAAAAACTGTTAATAAGGATTTGAAAGTGGCTGTTCTAAGAACAGGAGACTGTCATGGGCACAGCTAGCAAGACTCTTTGGGAATAAGTAGCTATTTGACCATACTGCCATTTGCACTGTGGAATAACAAATTATTAGTTCTTTTAAGACCCCAAGTTATACAGAAAGTTTCTCTTAATGTAAAGCTGCAAATATCACAGTGCTAATATATAGATAATAGTAGGTCACCATGTAGAGTTTTGTAGTCTTATCTTGCCTAGACAAAGAAATCAGACTCTGACAACATCCTGAAGTGACTGTCCTTCCTCTATCTCCATATTCACCACCCTTCATTATGCTCTACCAAAACTGTTGAGCAGAAGACTAGAAGCTCTGTCTTTGGGGCAGTTAAGTTTTAAAGGAGTTTTTCTGGATTGACAATGATTTTCCTGACTTAGATAGTTTTCTGAAGTGAAAAATGCCTCAAAGCACCACAGTAGGACATGGGCCTAAGATATGGTTATTATTGATAACAACATACTTCACAGATATAACTAGCTACTAGAATTAATTCAGAATAACTCGATTGTGCCTGGTTCACTTGCTTGCTCTGATGCACTTTCTTTGATCCTCAAAGTGTAACTTTACTCACGGTTGTTTAGATGACTGCTGTATAGCATGTGCTATATGATTGCATTGCTGCTTCTTATTTTTACACTTCATAGTTTGTTATTAAGTACTCTGTGGACAGCTGTCAAGTTTTGTGAACTGATGTGGCCAATAGCTCACTCTTTGAAGAACACAGTAATGCATATCCACCCTGCACTCCCGATGTTATGGCTGTTCTCAGATGTTAAATCACATGCATGTTTACACACTCCTGCCAGGGCAATCTTAAAGTGAGGTGGTGATCTTGGAACAATTAAACAATTTGACTTCTGTAATGCTTTCTTCCTTTTCTTCCTTAGGGAAAAAGGGTTATTGAAATCCTTCTCTGGAACAGAAACCAATAAGATCTGGCCACATATCTATGCTTTCCTCCAAACCAAGTTGCCAGATGTGAGCCAGAAAGATGCTGCCACTCCCAGGTGAAAATAGGTCTAACTTCTGCTCATCTGTCATAGCTCACACTTGATTACATGAGATTCAGCAATCAAGGATTTCTCTTAAGTAGCCCACCAGACTGATCAATAATCACAAGTCTAATGTTGTCATTAACTTACATTATGATAAAACTTTGTTGCCTGTGGTTCTCACTTTAATGCTGTATTTTTTTATATTAAATATACCTAATTTTTATAATATAGTAACTGACTTCAACAAAAGCAGCTACTCTTATGTCTCTTACTCAGAAAATATTTATGTTTGCAAATATTGACTGGTGAAGGAAACACATTGCAGAGTACAACGTAATTACAAAGCACAAAGATTGATTTACTCACTCATGAAATGTAGTGTGAAGCAATGACAAGGACATGAAAGCATGTTTCTTGAATATGTGATTAGTTGGGGCCAGCCAGAAGCTGTGGGAACCATGACCACCACTCTGTAGAAAGACATTTCAGACCAGAACTGGCATACATATAGATTGATCTTATGGAAGACAGTCACCTTCTTTTAGCTTTGCTTGCAGAGATATTAGTTGAACTTTCTGCTGGGCTTAAATTACCCTTAACACTTGCTTGGATGATAGGCCTTATTACCATGTTTATATTTCTGCCCTCAGAGCAGCTATCTTGCAGGCATGAGAAATGGAGTTTCAATGATGTGCAACACATTTGGTAAAGCCTCTGTCTTTGTGCAGCTGTGTAAGACTTCATTAGTAAAAAGACAGCAGGTACTGAACAGATTGAGTGTAATCTGGTAAATTGGTAGCTAGATGATCTTGACTAGTGAATGTGTCTTTTCTACTACCTTTGAAAAAAAAAAAACCTGCTCATTGATGCCAGTGCCAGGACTCCCAGTGATCAAAATATTAACATTGTCATATTACTGTAGCAAGTTTTATTGTAGAAATTGGACTGGTTTTCACCAGTTCATACAACTAATTCATTTCTCTGACCAGCTCTTGTATTTATTTATTCTCTAGATAACTGGAGTTACAAACCTCCACAGGCCACACCTTTTAACAGTCTAGGTAATGCAGACATTGCTATTTTTCAGTGAACTCCCCTGGCCTTTTTTATGCTCACCAGATTGAGAGTTTCAAGAATAATCAGCATAACCTGAGGAACAAACAACTCCATCTAGGCAACATCTGAAGTAGCTGTGTCCTACTAGTGCAGATCCCAATCTCCTTTTGCAGTGACTGTAAACAACTACAGAGCTGTGGTGCTGACATACCTCAGACTACATTTGCATGTGTAGGTATAGCATTATCAATATTGAGACACATTTGAGTCTAAAAAGGATGGTCACTGTAGAATTTGTAAAGCTTTCCCATTACTATAAATGAACAATATGGGCAGCAACTATCACTGCAAGCAGCTCTCCTTACATTTTAAAGAAAGCTTACCAAAAGGCTGAGCACTGGTGCTTTCATCTTCAGAAATGTCTATGTGGAGGCTGTAGACTGAGTTTAGAGATACACTTCTTTAAAAAACAGTCACAATTAGAAAACAGTAGCTACCACATTACAGTGAGAAGCCCTGATGTGCTGCTTCTATTTATACATTTTGATTTCAATAAAAAGCAGCTACGCTTGTTTTTTTGCCAGCCTATGTAAGTTGCAGTTAGCCAGAAGGAAAAGGGGGAGGGAACCTCCTTATGATTTGACACTTACTCCCACATGATCCAATTGTAGCCCCTTAGAAACTTTAAAAATAACTTTCAGTATATCAGAGGTTGCTAGATCAATGTGGCTCTACTATTAAGGGTAGCAATTGCAAGTGACTGTGCTACCCTGCTCTTACTATCCTTGTACAAAACATTCAGTTAAAAAACAACCTGAAGTTACTAGTTTCCCTTAGTTTCCCTTAATAATTAGCTAACTGAGGAGGTAGTGTTTACTTACCCTCTCTGGAGTATGTCAAACTTAAAAAAAATTACTGAACCTGGTTATCTCTCATTAGCATCTGGGACAGAGCTGCTGCTTGCTCCTTTATCCTCTGTCTGCAGAAGAACTGCTAGAGAACTCAAGGCACACGAAAAGTCACTGCTGTCAGTGGATCTGGAGTTCCTGCTTTTGCTACTGCATTTGTATTAACACTCACTCCGGTATATACTGCAAACTTAGACTCTTCCCTATCTCTGCTATAGCCAAACTGAAAATTACTTGATCTCATCTCAGCACAGCTTTCACCTGAATTAGCAACTGCACGTAGACTGTGTTCATCAAACTATTGAAACTAGATACTTTCCAGACCTTGCATACAATCAGAACAATACAGTAAAGGACAGAGTTTGTACCGATAACATTATTTGAGATAGGAGCTGTCTTCACTGGAGTCTTCCAACTGCAGTATACATTTTTATAAACAGAGATGCTGTAATAGCAGCAGGTTAGAAAAGCACAGTAGAATTTTGGATTGCAGACATTCTGTGGAAGGCCTTGTCTAGAAACAGTATTTGGATTTCCAGCTCCTCAAACAGGAAGCTTTTAATAATTTTCCACTTTAATTAGTTGAGTTACCAATATCAGAAACCCACTCTAGTTTCATAGCATATGAAATACCTTCCAAACCTCACATGACACCTGACCCTATATGAACTGTGACAAAGCTTTTTGTTTAAGCTGAAGTCTTAACCTAACCCTTGTACCTCAAGTTCCCTCCATCCCCTCCATCAAATACTTCTCCCCATAATGAGACTTGGTTTAAAAAAAGTCTAAAGTTAGCCTTAGGAACAAGAAGAGAGTCAGACTCTCAGAAATGATACAACCCAGCACTCATATGTAGACAAGCATTGCTTACATTTTAGGACAAAACCAAGTTACATTTAATGAAAGCACAGTGTAACATTTAAATCCCCTTAGTAGAGGTAGAAAGCCAGTGTTTTAATCTAACCCATTCATATGTGAAATACTGATACCAGATATTGATTTATTGCTATTAGTGACAACTAAATTTGAGAGCTTATAATGTCAGCAAGGTAGCATGATTACAGTTGTGATCTCCAATATTCATAGAGTAAAACATGTCCACAGCTGTAGTAAGACAATAGCAGATTCTACCAAGAATCTACCACTTCTTGTAAACATTGTATTTGTGCAGATTTATTTTTTTTTTCATACTTTAATTTCTAAAAGTCATGAAAGGCAAGGTTAGTAGCAGAAAACACATCCAGTTTCACATTCGGCAATATGAGAACCCTGCCCTTCAAGAACAACCAAAAACCTAGCAGCACATTTGCAAACAGTATTACAAGGTTTTCTGAATTACCCACCCTTCAAAATCTCTCCCCCCCGAAACCAAACAACAACAACAAAAATCTGACACGAAAAATAAAGTGCAGTACCCAGAAAAATAAGTGTCAAGAAAAAATAGCCATGTTTGTTTCTTTGGGGGGAGGAAAAAAAAAAAGAGTACTTGGCCTTAGCCTTAAGAGTACTACACTGTATCCATCATTTTGGATTCTTCTTCATCTCTTTGCATCACAGAGTTTGCACTGCAGACATCTGTGTTCATGGAACCTTGTAGATCCCCTGTGTTCTGCAACAGATGAAAAATTGACAGCTTAACTCTCTGTAACTGTATATATGGAAGAATAGAGACAGAGAGAGAAAAAGAGATTTTTAGCTTAAGTTGGACTCTCCGTGTTGTCCATCTTAAGATGAGACAAATTTACAATAGTAAGGAAATAAGCTCTAAAAAATTCATCAACCAATATTATCTCACTGTGTCAAGAATTCTTTAAATTTGCTGGCATAGCTTGTATTTGGTCTCAGTGTTTCTAGCACTTGACTGCACATTTACTTAAAATTAAGCTGTTGGGTCTTACCTGAGAGGTACTTTAATCAAATTATTTCAAATAAGTAGTTTTACTTGTGACTCCTTCCCTAATACCTAATTTTTTTTTTTTTACAATCTTTAAGTTGCTTCTTCATTCCAGAATGTGGCCATCACTAGTACTGTAACAAAAGACTTAAGTACACTCAGTTTCCTTTTATTAGAACAGGAGACTTTCCTTAGTCTTGACTTACCTGAATGATCCCATGAATAGGATCTGTCATTTTACACTGAAACCTCATTTCACTGCTTGTGCTAAATGCTGTGAATAAAATTCTAGCATCTGATCAGTTTTATGATGCAGTGTTTATTTTAAGCACAAAAATGTAAGGGCACTGAACTAACGTACTTTTGACCTTACGCTGATGCTTTCTGAATTCCAGCAAGAAAGCCCATATATGCCTTGCATATTGATAATACTGTACATTATATCCTGAGCACTAGCAGTTCTAGGAATAATCCTCTTTATATTTCAGAGAGGTATGGCTTCTCAAGGCAGGACCTAATCCTACTTTAGTTAAATTATTTTCTAGAAATAATAAGCCTACCTGTGAAAAAGATATCAGCTCTCCCACAAGACCAGGATTGACACTGAGATCACGTAGTAACATAGTTTGAAAGCCATGTGATTGTGACCAGATTCTCACTCTCGTCTTGAATGCCTCAAGTTCATTTTTAAAAGCCTCAAAATAACCTTCCCCAGTCTGCAAAGAGAAAAATGAAATATTTGCACTTCAGCCAGATTTACTTTTAAATTGTAAGCATACACAGCGCTGAAAAAAACCCATGCAGTAATCCATGTTATACCCTTTGGGGAATAACAAGAATAATGTTAGTCAATTTAAAATGAAATTTCAGGTAGCTTTCTTTTTAAGACAATCTGTAGTATTTATATGTAGAAGCAAACTAACTGATTTATCTAAGGACATGTAAAAATAAATCTAGTTGTAGCCTTTCCAACTCAGAAGCCAGTACCCTTAGAAGAACAGGTGCTTGTTGTAACACTGGTCAAAACCAAAGCACAAGCTGACTTGCACTTTAACTGAACTCCTTTAGGCAATATTGAGGTCCATCAGTCTTGAATAACTGAATACACTCTACAGCAAACCACAGTTGCAGTCTTCCCGCATTTCTCCTGCGTAGCTCTGGATTGCTCCATTTCAGTAACGAGAAAGGGACACTACTTTGGGCCGCACTGTGAACTGCAGATGAAATGGAAAGTTGTGATAATACGTATGTACACTGTGAAAACACAGGTGTAATTGGCCAAAATCAGTCCTTAAACTGGTCTGTTTGCTGTTGTTACTTAGTTACTACTTGTGTATAACACCCCTGTTGTCCCCCTGCTGTATCTTGCTTTTCCTCTGGGATAAGCAAAATCCCTAAAACTTTCATTTTCAGAATTGGAATTACACCAAAATATTCTGTCTAGAAAAGAACTGCTAACAAAACACTGCCATAAGCCTAAGTCAGTCAATAAAATATTTAGCCTCTTATGGTTAGGAAGAAACCTCTAGAACACTGGTCCCTTGTACAGCATCAAGTGTTTCTCCCATCATTACCCAAATTGACTTACTTTGGCTTTTTGGAAAAAGAGACGAAAACAGCCTCTTGGATCCATATTGCAGCTTCTGGCAATTTCTATAATAAACTGCATTACAACTGCCTGGTGTGCTACTTGCTCCATCAGAGCTCTTTTCTGAAAAAAAGTTCAAGTTATGATTTAAAGATACTGCCTGTGATTATATTTCTAAAATTCAACATAATTTCCTTTTGTTCTAGTTCCTAAGCAGATGAGAACTCATGCTTACAGAAGCAAGGGGACTGATAATTAGCTATAACTACACATGTAAGTGACGATGCACTATATACAGTTTTTCTTCACATAAAGTAGAGAGAGGGTGGGAAGAACAGTTAAACAGCTAATCAAGTTGGTCAGCTTCTTTATAGTGCAAGTGGGAAACTGTATGCTTTCAAACAATTTAAACATCTTCTTCATACCTGTTCAGCTTCTAGATGAAAACACCACAACATGAGATATCTAGATGTTTCTTCACATACAAGATATGGGTGATCAGACAAAAATCTTTGACTATCATCCCATCTGCTCAGCATACCTAGTAAGAAAAACATGGTTAAGATATTCTAAATGGTTAAATGATTAATGCAGCAAGGAAGTTACTTGCATTGATACCCCAGCATATACTAACACCTTTGCAATTTACTAACCTCAGAATGATAGCACACAACTAAGTTTGGGGGTTTTATTTATACATCTAACCAATGCTGAAAGAGCATTACCAGAAAGTATAATCAGACTTTGAAGATACTAAAAGTAGATTTTAACAGTCACAATTTTTAATGCATCTCTAGCATCATTGATAAGTTATTTTAAATCAATTCTATATATAGGTACCTATTAGTTACATCAAATAGTTTAAAAAGTTTATGGATAGAGATTTACATTCAGTGATTCTGATAAACAAGTCCTCTAAATGTATATAAATAAGAATGCAAAGAAAAGAATGTGTAATCTGTAAAAAATTATTCTAACACAATTTGCTGGGTTTTTAGGAAATTTGAATTTAATTACAGGAACAGCTTGATCTCAAAAAGCAAAGCCACATCAGTATTGGAAGGTTAACTAGAAGATTGAATTGTGATAGCATGAAGCTATCTTCATGTAAAGAGTTTAAAAATCAGAACTCAATTCTCAGACCACTTCTTAAAGTTGTCCTTCATGTATCACTGACAATCAAGTCATTACTGGCAACAGGTACCAGATGTACAGCTTTAGCCATCTATCAGCATATAATTATAACTGGGCTAAAGATAATTCAGTGGTAATGACCTAAAATAATCTTAATTCTAGCAAACAAATGCCTAAAGAGAAAGCAATGGCTAATATTTCTTTTGGCTGTTTTCAAGAGAGCTATTCCATGCAAGTTCTTTATTGCTTGGAAGCCAGAGCAGGATCCAGAAACAGAACTTGTACAATACAGCTAGCAAAGTCCACACTGCTCCTTGGCAGCAGCTAGCACAGAACAGGAGAGTTGAAAGAACATCAGTGTACTGTCCCTTTTTGCAATGGATTTACATATTTTGAATTAAAATAACAACGTGGCTTTGAATTTAGCAGGTAAGAAAAAAATTGATGATCTGTAATAAGGTTCCTTCTGTAACAGCTTAATCTGAATTTAGACAAAGTAATTTTGCCCAACTGTTAGCCAGGAAGCCTGCAAGAAAGTATCTTTTTTTCTGCTGAAATGCACAGCAGGGGAGATGTCTTCGGATTCCACTGTCATTACACTTAGCAGTTAAAGTATTTTAAAGAACCTGTGCCTGTCACTGCTATCTGCATATTCTGACAGTGTTGTGCCTCAGCTTGGTACTTGCAAGGCTTGCTAAGGCTAACAGGGCTAGAAACCCTTTCTTTAGAACAGTTTAAGATCCTTAGAAGCCAAATAGCTTAGTAAAAACAAGCTTGTACGAAGAATTTGATTTTGCCAACTCAGTCCTGTTGATTGTTCTGGTATTCCAAATATGGCTGTACTATACCATAGTCTGAAATCAGCCAGTAACTAAGAATGGAAAGCACTTCAGAGAACCATCAAAATTTCAGATTACTTTACAAGATCAGCTTTGTGCTTAATTGGGTTCAACAATTATGACAGAGCTAAAGTGACACCTAGTGGATAATTAAATATAATTTTAAGAAACACAATTCCATGCACACATACTCTCACCTGGTGTTTACAGACATTTCCCTTTAATCAGTCATTACCCTTGTAGCTTAATAGCCACCAGAAAAGAAACATTTATTAAAATGAGACAGCTATGGACAATCCCATGCACTTTTATACACACAATTTACATTGTCATGAATGTCCCTGCCTTTCCCACTGAGCTGCAAAAAAAGTTGCTAGAACTTTAGTTTGCAGGGCTTAAGCTCATTTGCATATTAATTCTTAATTATTTTTTTTTAAATTTAAGTTCTTATTGGTCATAGGAACTAAGAAGCTTCTACAGTTTATACCTTATTTCACTTTGAAATTATTATCTGTCCTGATAAAATAAAGCTGAACAGTCTGTTAACCAGGTCTTTCATTTGTTAACATTCATTCTGTACAATAAGCACCGAACCTACACAAATTCTGTAGAAGTTTGAACTGCAAAATGATGGAAAAAGCACACTCACCAAAGTGTCTAATCTTTTGTTCATGTTTTTGCATAAGTGGTTCAGACTCATCTTCATCTTCTCTTTCTTTTCTTTTTTGATTAATAAGACTCTGAGGAAGAGAAAAATTGTACTATCACAGAAACTCCAGGCATACATTTTGTGACATATAGCAGTATTATATTTTAATGTTACTATTTAAAGGGCTATGTTCTAATTTTAGTGTCGCACCATATACTTGAGGTTTTCTTTAAAAAAGTGCATTACCTCATAATAGTTTCAAAGTCTCATTATAGTCTACTGACCAAAGAACTCAGAAACTTCTGTCCTCATGTAGGAACTTACTGATCTGTCAGCAATGAGAATTATGTACATTGCATCCACAACTTCTCTGGGCAACCTGTTCCAGGGTTTCACCACCCTCATCATAAAAAATTTCTTCCTTATATCCAATCTAAACCTACCCTCTTTCAGTTTAAAACCATTGCCCCTTGTCCTATCACTACAGTCTGTAATAAAAAAAAAAAAAAGGCCTCTATCTTTCTTACAAGTCCCTTTTAAGTATTTAAAGGCCACAGTAAGGGCTCACCAGCACCTTCTCTTTTCCAGGCTGAACAACGTCAACTCTCTCAGCCTTTCTTCATAAGAGAGGTGTTCCATCCCTCTGACTGTTTTCATGGCCCTCCCTCTGGACCTGCTCCAACAGGTCCATGTCTTTCTTGTACTGGGGACCCCAGAGCTCGATGCAGTACTCCAGGTAGGATCTCACAAGAGTGGAGTAGAGGAGGAGAATCACCTCCCTTGACCTGCTATCCATGCTGCCTTTTATGCAACCCAGGATACAACTGGCTTTCTGTGTTGCAAGTGCACATTGCTGGCTCATATCAAATACTCAGATGACCCATGCAAGTTTTGACCTGCACTTCTGGTAGAGAAACATCATCCAGATTTGTAGTACGAGTGCAGCTTGCTCCCTTTTCTGAGGCAAAGACAGATGCCACCTCCCCCACTGCCCCAGCCCATTTAAGATATACTGTGGTTTTGTGCTGTACGGCACACAGAAGACACTCAAGACAAATGGAATGTAAAAAAGAGACTAACACTTGTTTTCACGCACACTGACATGGGTCATACCTTATTAAATACCTCTTTACTAACAGGAGGTGTGTTCCATAGATTCAGTCTTTCCCTCTGCTTTAGTGCTTCTTCTTTTCTTCTCCACTCTTCCTCTCTCTGTCTCAGCTCTGCAGCTTCAGTCTTTGCTCTAGCAGATTCCTGATCGCGGGATTCTGAATTATGCAGTGCTAAGCTACCTAGTTTTTGCTGGGCTTCTGCTAGGTTCCACGTGTATTCCACAGAGTGCTTCACAAACTCTCTTTCTTTTTGGCAGGCTAATTCAATCTCTTGGTCGTATGTCTGTGAGGAAAATCAGACATGCTATTTATGGAGGGAAAATTGTCAGTTTAGTTTGTATTGGAGCAGATAGGCCTAAATCTCAAATATAATGCACCTGGAAGGCACCTTAGATATGCAGCATTATATTCACAGGAGTGATGAAACATGGTATTGTATTGCTAGATGTTTTTTAGAAAGAGATTTCTAATTCAAGCTATCTTAAGTGCATTTACAAAGTCATGGATCACGTACTGCTATCAGTAATTGTCTCCAGACTGTAAAAATACTTTTGACACAGCTGAGACCCCTCTGGCTATCTTTGGGCTGCAATGCTACCGACAGCCAAGTGTGAGAATACTCTGAATACATACTTCTGAGAAGAAAGTATCAGTTTTGTGATGTCAGATCACAACAGTAAAGGAACTGCTGCTGCCTGCATTCCAGTATGGATTAGTACCTAACAGATGGCCAACATCTTCCCTTGAACTGGCAGTAAAAGTGGAATTTAAGTTACGAAGTGGCTGAGGCCCAGCACAAGCATATGCTCCTTTTGGTCAAATCTATTGAGGAGGTCACCACTCATAGCTAGGAGTGAGAATGACCTCTTAAGCAACAGTGCTTGTATTGCTTCCAGGTGTGTGCTCGGTATTCACACTCAGTAACTTAAGAAATTATCCTCTAAATTATGTGCCTGTTTTTTTTCCCCACTCCTGGTGGGAAAGCATTCACATGCATTAGTTCCTCAGCCTTCCAGTGCCCTATTATTAGATTTGTGGTGCTGATAAGTTGCTAAAGATTATCTGAAGGAAACGTTAAGGCGGGTACATCAAAGTTCTTGTGCCAACTTTGTCTGGGAATCACAGCTTCTTGTTTTTCTTTTTTTAATAGCAAGATAAAAATTTCTCTGTTGGGAAACTGATGTAACAGCAGCTTATTGGAAGAACACGCAGAATTCCTGACGAGGTACTTGCAAAACTCCGACTTGCCCTAGCCAGCAGAAGAGCACACCGCTTACGTATCCGCTTTTTAGACGTTAAGGATGCTAGGATAACTTCAACCCAGCTCCCTCCGCATCGCTCCTCAAACGCGGAACTGTTACCCACGGGCAGTGGCAGGCGTCACACACCCACCCACCCCACCG